TTTAACCTGCGGAGGGCATCTGTGACTTCCTCTGCCTTCCTGTTGGGAGACAGCACAGAAGTCGTGGAGGTAGAGCAGGTGACATCACTGTCCCCAGGTGCAGTTGTCTGCACACAGAACATTAGTTGTTAAATATGTACTGGAGGCTGAACGATTTCTTCCCTCCCCCCTTCCCCTTCCTTCTCTCTCTTTCCCTCACCACGACCATTGTTCAGAAGCAAATTGGAAATCTGGTAATTAGGCCCTGACTCACGGTGTAGTATCAGAGTCCCGAGCCAAAGTTCAACACCCTGAAATGAAATTTAAACCAATTAATCTGTTAGATTTTTATCGCTTGTCCGTGTTTTCTCAGCAATTCCCCCAGCACGTGGCCTTTGATCAACTCTCATACAAACGCTAAAATGTGTGCCTGCTGCTAGCAAGATGGGAATGACATTAACACGGTACTCATAAAACAATCAGAGCAGAGAGGCCCTCAAACAGACAGGGCAGAGTAATATTTAATAAAAGCGCGCACATAATCTTCAGAATTAGCATTTTGTGCCTTGCAGTACCTTTGGGAGAAGAGCTTTTATTTGTGGAGTGATCATTATTATAACAAAGAAGAGCTACCTAATAATTTCCACTTTAACTCTGCGCTGCGCCAGGAGCGCTCCAGAGCCATTATGCTAAACTGTGGTGGGGTAATCATGTTATTGTCAGAGTTTGAAGGAAGGAAAATCTCCTCTACTTTGGTGGCTGTTGGGGGTGGGGGAAGAAGTAAAAAAATAAAAATAGAAAAATAGAGGCAAAAAGAAAAACGCCCAAACTTCCATTTTTAATGAGGTTTACAACCAGGAATTGGCACGCAGTTCTTGTGGATACCTGGAAGTGTGAAGATTCATTGGTGAGGAAGAATCGTTCGTTAATTAAATCAAGATTTGGCTGGTAAAAGCGGTTTTATATTGAAACTCCCTCCCCCTCCCCCATTTCGTAGTATTTTTTTGGAGATAGAATTGTGTTGATTATTATACTCCTGGGCTGGACTGAGTTCTTTTGTAAGTCTTTTCACCTTCAAATTCCACGGGGTACTTCCGCAGTGACTACACTAGAAACTCTCTCTTCTTGTCTTACCTCCGAGTCTCTCTGGACATCCCGAGAGCAAGGAGAACAAGCCCTTGGTTGGGGCCGAGGTCTGAGCTTCCACAGAGGCGACTTACCCAGAAAGGAGAGGGCAGGAGAAGCTCAGGGTCTGTTACTTGGCACAGTCTGGCTTAAAAACAAATGAGTATCAATTTGCTTTAAAAAGTACAATCTTTACCTCTCATGGAATTAAATGCTCTGCTGTTACTTAATTTTTAATTATAATAATGCATTACCTTAATATATGCTCACGGAAAAAATCCAAACCCTGCAGATGTCTATTGAAAAGAGTTTAATATTCACCCTTCTCTGTCAGTCCCCCCAGTCCTGTTCCTTTGCACGTGGACCCTCTGACCGCAGGGGGTGTCTTTCCAGACCTTCGTCTGTCACACCTGTTCATACATATCTACATGCACACACACACACACTAATGCACACACATGTTCATAGATACCATTTTAACATCAACAGGGTCACACTCTAGATTATGAAGTGCTTTTTACCCCCTTCCTAATGTATTTTGACATCTTTCTACATCAGTCTGTAGAATTTTTTCCTTCCATTCCAATGACACTCCTGACGTTCTCTAGTACAGATGTGCCAGAGTTTACTGAACCACTCTCTCACCGGGGGCACCCAGATTCCTAGATATTTTATTGCCAGTACTGCTGGGAACAGTTGGGTACCCATAGTTTGGGTTGTATTTGCAAGTATGTCCTGGGCTCAATTTAGTCTGGTGAATTTGTGACTCAGGTAAAAGTGAGTTTAGTCTACCCACAAACATCTTGGGTAGCCAACACATTTTATTGAATTAGTTGCCGACATTTAAAGATTGGGACATTTTGCATAAAAATCTGGGCTCCTATCTTCTTTTGAAAGGCGAGAAGACTGGAGTCCCCCTATTCTGCCTCCAACACCAGCCTGTGTTTGTGTGGTGTTACCGAAGGCTGGAGCTGAGACACCTCTAGATGGGGGACGACGTAGTCAGCAGTTCACCAGCATCCTGCCATTCCCATCACTCCCTCACTTCTGAGTGTCAGTGACTGCCCCTCTCATGCTTGATCTGAAACCCTGAGCTGCTGCTTTATTCATTTGTGTCTCTCGATTTGGCCAGTGTGGATCCGTGAGTTCTGAACATCTGCTCTTGAGCCGATCTTCCTAAGTAGGCAAAGTGCCTTCTACCTTGCAGTTTTGCTATTTTAGAGTTCTTCGTGTAGAAGGGCTGTGTCAGGCACTGTTTGACAAAGCCTCCTGACCCTCCAGGTCCTAAATGCCAGGAACATCTCTTCCCCATCCCATCTCTCTCCGTGGAGCAGCCCCTGATTCCTTTACATATTTTCCAGACTTCCCAGTGGGGGAGTCCGAGGGGGCTTCCTCTCAAGACGGCTGTGACATACAGGTTTGTAAGAGCACCTGTAGAACCAGTTGAGCTCTAAACTTAGAAAGGGCTAAGAACAGCGTCTAGTCTCCAGGCTGGGATGGTAGATGATGCTGAGTAGTGAGGCAGGATGATCGAGAGATGGGATGTGTCACTCTTTTCCTGGGGTACTCCCTTTAAGGCTTTTTTCCTCCAAAAATGTAATAGATAGTGTCGTATATTGTCTCCTCACCAAGTTGTCTCCGGAAGCTTGCTGCTCTTTCTTCTGACAAGTTCTGACTAATTGCCCATATACCTTGTTTCTGGACAGTTGCTCACAGAATCTGAAAGCATCATTTTCCTTAGGAAATACTTGAAAGCACACACACATACACACTCTTATATGCCCTCTGAGGGAGGAGATGAAGTTTAAAACCAGCAGGTCTTGGCTCTGCTGCTGGGACATTTTTACCATAGTACAGTCTCAAAGATACACCAGCACACCCTCTGTCTCCTCTACCATGATGAGGAAACTTGGAGGAGGCCATATTTATCCACAGAAGCATACTTGTGTGATTTTTTTTAATTAAAAAATTAAAAGAAATTCCCAAACTAATACAGATATAAACACCAAGACTATTTTGTGGTTTATGAAAGTAATTACAGGGTCAGCGTGCAATAATACCACTGGATTCCACACTTCCCCAGTGGGAAGGACCCTTTCAAGACCAGTCCAGTTAAAACTAACCTCCTCCTCTTCCCAGAAGTCCCCAGGGACACAGCGAGGCCTTTCCTGTGCTACTTCAGCAGCCAAATATACTGAGCTGGACATTAAGAGTTAAGATTTTGAGACATTAACTAGAATGTTGCCAAACTGTTTTTATTTTAAGAATTTTATGTAGTTGTTAAATGTAGTTTATTTTTTTAATAAATTGCTTGAATTCATGCATCCTATTTTACCATTGGTTTGGAGTACTTGGTTATGCATTTAAACTTGTTGACTTTTAAAGAAAAATTTTGTTTGAGAAAAAGTCCTATGCCCGGGAAACTTGGATCACCACCTTTATGCGTGTTAAAAATTGGACAAGGGTTTTCGAGTCACGAGTCATTTACATCGTCTTGATTAATTATTTTGTTTTGAGGAGAGAGTGGAGGAGAGAAAAGGCATGAGAACTGCCCAGTTTTAGTTGTAAATGGCATTATATGAGTTCAGCCAACATGAAATGTTTAGTTTGGATATTTCCTAATTTCTCTGTGCAATTTTATAAGATTAGTTTGAATTGAAACCAAACCCATTCTCTCGTTGGTGTGGCGGCGCGTGAACAACGGTCCCGCTGGGCCCGGCTTCATACTTTCTTTTCTTCTTGCAAAAGTGAACGCCTGATATTTTGCCAAATTTGACAAAGTCCAGTAATTTTTTTGCCAGTTTTTTTCCCCATTAAAATGAACTGGTGCTCTTGTTGGCTTCAGTGCTCGGAAAGTCCGTCTTGGATACTTAATAAACTTTTTATTAAAGAGGAGGGTCTCACTTTCTCTCCTTGCACAGTACATTCCTTACTCTAGAATTTGGCTTTGGTCGTGTTCAGAAAAGTAATCACGAGCAAAACAGTGTGGCATCGTGGAGTTCAACACCCTCCGTGCGAGGAAGGTGTCCTCGCAGACATTTCGGAAACGTAACCTTACGATCACACTTACGCCGGGTAGTTCTCTTGAAAGGACACCATGCTCACTAGTCAGCCACCGCCAGGCTGTTTGGAATTACAATATTTGCAAATTATTTCCCATTTCCAAGGGCCATTTACAATGGAAAGGAAGAGACATGAAATTTTGAGAAAGTCAGTTTTAGGTTTTTTTTTTTTATGCCCGGGGAATGACAACAAAGCAAAGGTCATGGGACTCTGTGGTTCAGCCCTGACTGTTTGGTTACGCAGTTCACCCCAAGTGACCTGCATTCTTTGCATCTATAAAATGGGACCCATAACATTTAATGAAAAAAGGAACAATCTTTAACAAGGAATGTTCGATGTTAGTGTTACAGACAGAAGGCATGGAGCAAGAACAATTTCTTGCTCATTCCTTCTCTCTTTTCTTCCCATTGGGCAGAAATGTTTATCTAAAAATCTGTGGGCTTTCTTTTCAGGAGGTACGTTGAATCATGAAGCAGTTCTATAAGGTTTCCAGCATGTTCCAAACAGTCATTCATTTTTCATTTTTTAATAATCTTTAGTCTTTCATAAGTTAAGTACTGTTTCTATGTTTCATTTCATGAGATCTCAGGTTTGAAAATGATTTGAGTAAAATACATGTCTCTCAATAGAAAGAATGAAAAGAATGCTTTTAAAACCTGAAATTGCACCCTTAGGTTTCAGGTCCTAACGCGGCCGGGAAATGCTGAGGTCTTGAGGGACGTTTCTGTTAGTGAAAAGATAAAAGATTTTTTTTTTTCTTTTTCTCAAGTCTCCCATCATTAAAGTTTGATTCTAACAGCAGACTCCTTCTCTTTTTCATGTGTGTGGAAAAGCAGCTACTCCCTGTATCAAAGCCATCAGCCCGAGCGAAGGATGGACCACGGGAGGCGCCACTGTGATCATCATAGGAGACAATTTCTTTGATGGGTTACAGGTCATATTCGGTACCATGCTGGTCTGGAGTGAGGTAGGTGTTGTCGGAACATTAATATCTAATAGCTTGGTCTAGTTGAGGATACTGTCTACACTTGAATTTCTAATAGAGTGTGTAGAATTTAGTGGGTGCTGTCTGGGTGGGCCAGCACCGGTCTCCAGAACTCTGGGAAGCTAGGAAAGATGGGTTGGGGTCCCCAGAAGGCAACATGTCTTATTGGAATGACTCTGTCCTCTGCCCCATAAGCACTGAGAGAGTGCTTGTTTGGTCCCTTCCCCGTTGGGCTTGCCAAGATGTGGAGGCCCCGTTGCACCCTGGGAGTCAGAAAGGGGACGCACAGTCATCACACGCATAGGGAAAGCTGACACTAGCAAGGTAGTCAGCTGTGAGTATTCGTAGGCAGAGTCTATTGTAGACCCACCTTCAATGAATTCCATTCAAATGACAAAGATAATCTAGGCACAGGTGGTTCTTGATTTAATGACTGTTCATCAGAAATTGGGTGATTCGTCAGGGGAACCTAGAAGAACCCCAGGCTTCTTCCAGACCCAGGAATTTACAGGTCTCAGGCACCACAGGTGTGGCTGCAAGCCCATGAAAATGGCTCTCTGCTCTCCGTGCAGTGCTTTTGAAGCGCGCTGATCGGTATTTCAACGTTGCCAGTTGACTGGCCTAGCAATCAATAATCAAGTTAACGCAAGATTACAAAATGTGAACATCTCCACTATGGAGATGCCAGGGCATAGTTGCCTTTGCTTTCCAAATTCTGAGCCCAGGTTTCTCAGTCAGCCTGCCCAGGACCCCTTCTCTTTTACCTCACCCAAGTGTAGAATACAAACACTGTAGGACTACAAGGTGTCACAGAGCCCATTCATCCCACTCTCTTCACAAGTGGTCACAGGAATCGCTAAACTTTACTGAGCCTTACTCTGGGCCAGGTGGAGTGCTGAGCTCTTGACATGCACCATCTCCATCTTCTCCCGACACCACCAGGTACAGACTCTCGGTGCGCACCTTTTGTTGCGAAGGATGCCAAGGCTCAGAACTCACAGTTACATCATCTGAATGCAGCCCTCCAGAGCCCGTGGCGTGGATGTGGGCCACACAAAGAAGTCCGTAGGAGAACCGGAGCTAGAACTCAGACATTTTTTTTTAAATTTCCATTTCTAGCTATTGTCCCACTGCTGTGTATCCTATCTAGATATTTTACCTGTGCTTTCTCTCTGGAGGGGCCATCAAGATAAGCAGAGTCAAGACTGGGACTGTGGATTATGTTTGTCTGTCCAAAGCAGAGCTTCTTTCTCAGCCATCTGTGCTGTGTGCACTTCTCAGTGCCAGTAACCACCCAGGCCAGCCCTGTGGCTCCCTGTGTGTTTCCCGTGCAGCCAACAGTGGTATGTGTTTGGCCAGAGAATCAAAGCTTTGGTCAAGCTGAATCAGGGATGGGCTTCTCAGTCCACCAGACTAATTGCTGGCCAAGTTGGAACATCCCAGGCAGGAAAGGTGGGCTGAGTCCCCCTGCCGACTGCACCCCATTCTCTGTTGGAGCCATCGGGTCGCAAAATTAGAAATGTCCCACACGTGACTTACTTTGCTGCCAGCCTGGTGTCTGCGTCCCTGCCGAAGGCAGCCATCTTCAGGAGCACAGCCTGCCTCAGGTCTCATGGCTCTATCTTCATCCTTTTCTCTCCATCGTTCTGTTCCTTATCATGGGAATTGGAAGGGGGGGTGAATGAGTAGAAAACGGGCTTCTGGCCCCATGTCCTTTTAGTCAATACAACGTCTGAGTGAGTAGTGGGGCTCCAACCTGGCAGGAAGTCTTATTGACCCTCCGAGAATAATGTGGGTTAGTCTGAAGCTTCTTTTAAAACCTGGGGCCAAAATACAAACTACAGACTACAAAATACAAAAAAACTTTGTACCTGGGTTAGCCTGAGCACACTACCCTGAGTGCAGAATAAGGTCTTCCACCCTTCAGGAAGTGACTAACACGGGTCCCCACCTTGTCTCTAGTCAAGGTGGCTCTGCACCTCCCAGGTCCCCCAGCTGCTCGCCCTCTTTTGGGAACAGGTGAGGGAGGCTAAGTTCTGACTTGCATTTATTCAAATTGCTTTAAAGAACCTGTATCTCTATAACAAAACAGATACAGCTCGTAGAAAAGAAAACCCATTAAGACAATGCCTTTGTCCCCATCTCTCCTCTGTCCCTACCTACACTGTCACCGCCTCCATGTACACAAGTCCCTGATGACGAATCCACAGGGTCCAGTAGGAGGTGAGGGGGAGGGGTGCATTCTCCCTCTATGCCCACCTGCTCCTCCCCAACTGCTCTCATCTGCAGCTCTGTCCTAAATCAGCTATGACCCTTTCCTTGTAGACACCTATCCACAGTTTCCCCAAATGATGGAGAAGATAGAAATTCTCTGCAGCATTAGCCGTTAGGTGTCTGGGTGAAGGAGTTTAATTTGGGCTGTTTTCATCACAATAGTCCTGACAGTCAGAAACATGTGCCTTGCAGAAGTGAACTTTTTTCTTAATATTCTAAACTATTTATATATTTAGGTGTTCATACAGGCTATTTGGTGGATATGATTCTTTTTCTCCCTTTTACAGCAAGGAGAGAATTTGGTATTGCTCCAAATTACAAAAAAAAAAAATCCATTGCATTATGTGCATAATGGTGGGAAATTAAGAAATAGCTCAGCCCTGGCTGGGTGGCTCAGGTGGTGGGAGTATCATCCTGTACCCCCCAAAATTGCGGGTTTGATCCCTGGGCAGGGCACAGACCTAGAGTGGGGGTTTGGTTCCTGATCGAGGCGCATGTGGGAGGCAATTGATTGATGTTTCTCTCTCTCTCTCAAACCAATAAACATATCCTCAGGCGAGGAAAGAAATAGCTCAAAGTAATTAAGGGTTTATTATGTACAGGCACTTTATGGGTATTACCTTATTTAGTCCTGATGACAGCCCTGTGTTAGATACTCTTATTCCCATTTTATGTAAGAATAATCTGAGTGTCAGATTAAGAAACCTGCCCAACACCACACAGCCCAATAGTGCTGGAGATGGAATTTGAACGTCGATGTACATTTTTCCAAAGGGAATAAAAGCCTAGTTGAATGAGAGAGCAAACTGAATGTTGAGAGAGGGAAGGAGAACAGAAAGAGGATAAGAAAACTTGTGTGATAACCCAGGTGGTCCAGCAGCAGTAGTGATAGTAACAGTAGTATCAAGTACCCTTTATTTTGGTAGGGGCAAAAAATATTGGGATCATTTCTCTAGGCTTCCATTGGGTAGAATGTGATACTTGATACTGTGAATGTATGAGAAGATAGTTATGAGATACCTATAGAAAAATGCAGAATATGACTAAGTTTAGTTAACTTCAGTTCTTGCCAGGTACCATTTGGTACAGCTCTCATGCAAGTCTTACGGCATCTGTTTACCATGTGGTTCCCATTTTACTGATGAGGAATGGAGGTTTGGGGAAGTTAAACATGCTGGTGGTTCCCCAGCCATAGAGACGGGATTTGAACCTGGACAGTCCAACTCCAGGTCTCAATTTACTTACTGATTATCCATGATTTAGCCTATGCCCAAATAGTACCCAAGGATTTTACCACTCCAGACTCGAGTGTAAGGCCTACCGTATCATCATTGTCTCGTGCTGGATGTATCTGGACAGTTACTGTCACCTTCTAAGATAAGGAGGACTTGGCATAGAGAGAATCAGAGGTCGAAGAAATCCCTCCATTTTCTCGTTCTGTATGTTTGTGGTTGGAGCCACTGGCTGGTAGGAAGGTTGTATCCTTAGGAAGGACATGTGCTTTGTATTGGGAGCAGAAGACAGCCTCTTCCTTTATCTTCAAAAGTGACTTCAGGCAGGGCAGTTAACCTGTTTGGACCTCATTGCTAGTGTGAGACCCTACCTATTTGAAGTCTTTGTCCTCCAGCCACCTGGTCTCTTGAGGTCATGTCCCTCTAAAACCTAGGTCTTTGTCTTCCAATTTTAGATAAACTTTGGTCTCTTTTCTGTTTGTTCACTCTGTAGCTGAGAGCTCTTGGGAAGCAGACTGGTGGGCCAGGACAGGCAGACAACATTTTCGATTAGTGGCTGATGCTATTATTTGGAGGGTTTTGTTTTGTTTTCTAAAGAATTTAAAAAAGAGAATAGGACCGGCCTAATTTAACCTCATCTGTGCTCTTCTCCTGCCAACCCAATTTTTTGCAAATAAGTAGCTCAGCTTATCACACTGATTGTCCCCTGAGGGTGGGGAAGAGGTAAGGTGGAACTCCATTGCTCCTAAATCAGGGCTGCCTCCTTCAAGCCCCCACGTTTGGGGAGAACACTTGGCTTTCCTCTGAATTTGGTTTGCCATCTTTGTTACTCTTCCTTCATTGTTTCTTGCCCTTTCTCCTTTCTTTCTTTTTTAAGAAGCAGCTTATTTTATTGGTACTTTTCTGTTCATTCTGCCTAACACCAAAGACTTTTAAAAATCTGTAGATTTTTATATATAAACCCAAGAAAACCAACAGGCTGGATATGCACTAATTTTTAATGTGAGTTGAGTATTTTCTTGATCAGAGAGGAACTTGGTGGTTTATTATTTCCTACCAACATGTGATTTGGTGGAGGAAGGGGCTCCTGCTACTAGTTTGTAAAAATAATCATTATTTTCATATCTCCTTCTGAATTGCTTTAATTTCTCAACAATGACCTCTGCTGCCTTGCCTGTAGTCAAGGGTTGGGTACTGGGATGGGTACAGATTAAAATTAAGCTTTGTGGGATCTGGCGTTTTATTTGGAAAAACAACTTGTTCCTATGAAACAAGTTAGAGAGTTTTGTAGCATGTTTATATAATCCAGGGTTCAACTGCAGTTGCAAATTCGAGGCAAGATTTTAGGAGGCCAGATGAGTGGTATACTCAGAAGTAGACTGTTTGAGTGACCAGTCAAGCTTCCTGTTTTGTACATACAGATGGATCTCTGTGCTAGGCATTCTAGGGTCTCACAAGCCTTTCATTTAATCACTG